TCAGCGCCGTGTAGCTGTAGTTCTTTCCTTTGTGACGTTTCCTTACGCAGGTGAGAAGAAACTCGGTACGGTCATCACTCCCGATACGTGGAAAGATGGTGCAAGAAACACAACAGGTAATTTTGGGGAGGTCTGACGCTTGTCTGCCGGGGGTCTCCAGGCCAGCTGGGCACCTGAGCTGTCCGACAGCCCGAACGGCAAAGCTTGAAATGGTCGAGCCGGTTCATTTTGAGCTCCTGATGTTTCCCTCCCCCTGCTGATTCAACGCATTCGGAGCTTATTTGCCCTCAGCTCTTCAATATTGAACTTGTCTTTTTTCTTCTCCTTGCGTGGAGCGGTGGTCTGCAGACGGAGCGTAGTCTGCAGTGTTCTGATGTCTTGTGCTTTGATGCTGCGCTACGTGTTTTATCTCTCGTTGTGACTTTGTTTGCACACGTGTAAAAGCTGTAAACGAAGCTTTTTTTAAGTGTGCTTGGAACTGGGAAATTTATTGGTTTGTGGTTTTATTCTTTTTGTAGAAAGTGGTGGCCGTAAGTTAAATGAAAACAAGGTGTTGACCTCAAAGAAGGCAAGGTCAGTATTTAATACTGATTTTTAGCTTAAAAAGTCAGTTTGCTGTAACTGAAGCCCGTTTCCTGCATATTTGGGTAACTGCTCAAAACTTGTCCGAAATAGACTTTTTTTTTTTTTTTTAAAAAAAAAAACCACACAAACTTATATGGGGATTGTGAGATTGGATTATTTGGTAAAAGTATATCCGTACATGTTTCATGGGTGCTTTCTGCTGAATCATGGAATGTGGGCAACTCTTTTACTGCCGTTTTCACCAAAATTGCTGGGGCTTGATGCTTTTGTTAGGAGAGGAGCCAGGAAGGCTTATTTTCTGTGCTAAGATTGCCGGTACAATCTCTTGAGCATTTCCTTGATGTCTGGGGGATGTTCTGTTATGCAAGGGGGCAAGGTGCTGCTGGGAGGTGTTTTAAGTTCAAAATAGCCTAGTATCTTAATAAAAAGACAAATTTTTCTGCTTTTGTTAAGTTTTTGTCCGTAATGCAAGAAATTTCTCTTAATGGGGAAAATGGGAGCTTTTCTATAGACTCTGTGCAGCCTATTAGAAGTAATCCTTGTATATCCTTTTTCTAAATTGTAATTCTTGTTGGAGTTTCTGTCTGTGCCCTCTGGCTTAGACTTTTTAGTATGAGGCAGAGGAAATACTTTATTTCAAGGTATATAAATGAAATACTTTTCCTTTTTTCCCAGGTTTGATCCTTATGGAAAGAACAAATTTGCAATATGTCGGATTTGTAAGAGTTCTGTCCATCAGCCAGGGTCTCACTATTGTCAAGGATGTGCCTATAAAAAAGGTGAGTCTCTCTGAGTACCAAATTACCCTGCTTTTGTTTGAAATTAGGGAGCGAGTGGGACTCTTCAGTTTGTTTCACCTTACAAAGAGAAGGCTGAGATTTAATTGCTATCTTCAACTACTGATAGGAAGGCATAGAGATGATAGATTCTTCTGTGGTGCACAGTAATAGAATAAAAGAAAATGCACACAGGCTAGAATGTGGAAAACTCTAATTATATACAAGGAAAGCAATTTTCACTGTGAAGGTGGTCAAATATTGTTGTAACAGAGGTTATGGAGTCTCCGTGGGAGGTATTCAGAGCCTCACTGGGATGAGGCTGGCTCGGGACTCTTCAAGTTGGCCGTGTTTTGAGTGGGGCAGGGGCAGGACTAGATTGATGGAGATCATTTCCAACTTAAGTTGTTCTATGATTCTGCTTCTTTTAGAATGTTTCTAGTGTCTAAAGCAGTAGAACTGGAAGAATAACTGTAAGCTTAATCTTGGCAATTGCATAGAAAACTTAGTTTAAAAACTTAGTTTTTTCTTAGTTTAAAAAAAAAAAAAAAAAGGATTTTGTAAAACTCAATTGCTTGTTGCAGTCGGTTTTCTGCTTCCTTCTCCTATTTCTGCTTTTTATAATACCTAAATCTAAAACTCTAAATAGTGGTCTCAAAAAACCCCAAAACCAATTAAAAAAAACCCAAACCCAACACCAGAAAACTCCCTCCCAAAAAAACCCTACAAAACAAACCAAACACCCCACCACCACCACCCAAAAACCAAACACCCCAGACCCATTTCCCCCTGGTCCCCCCAAAACCCACAAACCAACTGAAGATCCAACTTCTGATCTTGGTAAAGCGATAGGCTGGCTTAACAAAAGTAAAATACCTGTGGCATAAAAAGCAAAGAGGGAAAAAAAAAAGTAGAGTTGTAAAAGGAATTAAGAAGATATCTCTGAAAGCAAGTCCTGCTTAGGGTTGTCGTTGTGCCTGTGTGTGTTCTTGTGCATTCAGTGGCTTTACGTAAGCCATTGAAAGGGTCATCTCTAAAAGGAGACTCTGGTTCAGTTGCCAACATGCTTGATGCATTGTAAGTCAAGTTTGGCTTGAGGTGAAACTGAAAAATGAGAAAGAAAAATATAATCACGATCCGTAGAAAGCAAGATGCTGCACTGAGCAGTACGTAATACATAAAATCTTCCTGTACTTATGAGTTAGGTGTGAATGACTGCACTGAAATTCTGCTTGTACCTGGAAGCTTTCTATCTCCTGTATACATAATAAGTCTTCAGTATTGTTAAAAACTGTTCAAAAATGCCTGAGGGGGAAAAAAAAAATCAATTTCAAGCAAATTTGGTGGAGAGCCTTAAGGATATAAAACTTTTACTGGTCTTGTGATTTTGAGTGGGTAAGCAAAAGGGCTCAAACCTGTAATTCCTGGAGGGGAAAAAAAAGGCAACATGAACTTAGTTACATTATTAATACCGTGGAATTCACACAGCACACAGACACGGGGTGAACCAGTAGTAAGTTTTGTTTATGAAATGACTTTTAATGGTTCTACAGATGTGCCCTGTGTCACTGAGTCAGTGGTTTAGCAGCCTGCTGTAAGAAGCTTGCCTTTTCTAGTTGCTAGATGCTCACCAGATGGCTGCCTGAATCCCATCTGGTAGAACCGTGTTCTCTTTCTTAAACTTGCGGCTGGTTTGGGTGGACTTTAGGATTTCATCTTTGTCTGCTTGTGTATCCTCCCAGGTTGAATCTGGTTTCTTCATAAAATTCAGAACTTAAGTGCTTTAGGTTCTCGTTCTGACCATCAGAGACATGGTTGTGGCGTGTTTCGTGAAGCGAATGTGCTCGTATGGTTTAGTGCTTTAGCTGTTGTGTATCTCTGAAATTGAGAGGCAGTCTAAAATTAATTACTCCTCAATTTAGACCTGAAAGTGAACAGCCTGTGGGCTGGATTTTGCTCTCCAAAGTAAATCATGTGACACGTTCCCTGCTGTTCTCTTCCCTTAATGGACTCTTAGATATGTCTGGTCACATGATGTCAGTATATGAAAGCACACGATTTGTAGGGAGTTAACAGGAAGAGTTGCCACTTGACTTTTTTTTTTTTTTGTCTGCTGATGAATGGTCTTGTACAAGGAGATGTGGCTCTACCAGATAAAAGATTGAGCACCTTCCTGCTTCAGAAGAAGAGG